AGAATTAATCTGTACTACTGCATTCTAACCACTGCTCCACCACGGCTCTTCAATAACAACAACAACAACAACAATACTAATATTAATAATAATAATAATAGTTGGAAGGACCTTGGAGGTCACCTAGTCAAACCCCTTGCTCAGGCAGGAAACCCTATACCATTCCAGACAAAAGACTGTCCAGTCTCTTCTTAAAAGCCTCCAGTGTTGCATTCACAGCTTCTGGAGGCAGGTTGTTCCACTGATTAATTGTTCTAACTGTCAGGAAGTTTCTCCTTAGTTCTAGGTTGCTTCTCTCCTTGATTAGTTTCCATCCGTTTCTTCTTGTCTTGCCTTCAGGAGCTTTGGAGAATAGCTTGACTTCCTCTTCTTTGGGGAAGCCCCTGAGATATTGGAACTCTGCTATCCTGTCACCCCTCGTCCTTCTCTTCATTCAACTAGACATACCCAATTCCAGCAACCGTTCCTTATATCTTTTAGCCTCCAGTCCCCTAATCGTCTTTGTTGCTCTTCTCTGTACTCTTTCTAGAGTTTCAACATCTTTTTTACATCGTGGCGACCAAAACTGGATGCAGTATTCCAAGTGTGGCCTTACCAAGGCATTGTAAAGTGGTATTAACACTTCACATGATCTTGATTCTATACTTATTAAGATTGACTGAAGTCAGATATGAGAAGATTGTTATCATACCGTACTGGAAAAAATATTGCTGCTAAATTGAGTTCCATTAAGCGGCAGAAGCCTCTTCTGGATTAGCTGACCCCATACTAATGAACTCCTAGTCCTACCCTGGTCTCAAAAAGGAACATTTTGCAGATAATAAATAACCCCAACACAAACTCTGCCTTTACTGCAGACATACCTGGTGATGATGGGAAAAATCTCCAGATGGAACCAGCTGGTCTCTTTGGGAATCTAAGGATGAGATCTTTTTCCAGTGAATCCCGTTAGTTGGCACTTGATGCAGTTACAGTCAGAAAGAGGATCTGAGCTGGACCAAGTTGCAAAATTTTTGAGAGAAATAAGAATAACTTGTCTGATGTTCTTCTCTGAATTTTGTAACTTTGCAGAAAGCATGCAAAAGAAGCAGTTAACGATATAGTCATATCTTAAAGAAGAATCAACCAAAATGTACCAGCCTGAGATGCAGATTAACATGGATCTCAAATTCCTGGAAACGAGCCACTTAGAGGAAAAGCATCTTATGGCAGCCATTGTTAACTGTGACAGCAATTTCCTTTTATTATTTATTAAGTTTGTATGCTGCCTATATCTCCATTAAGGTGACTCTGAGTGGCTTGTTAAGCTAATGCTGCAAGAAACAATGTAGGCTTCCACCATTTTGATCATTTAGTCCTCTGTGCCAATCTTACTGGTGAGGATATATATTTAACCAAATGCAGTCTTTCTTCTGGTTGGTTCAACCAAACAGACAAAACCTGGAAGGACTTTTTTGTTTGTGTGTCCGGAAGGAGAAGATTTCTGAAGGGAGCAATAGGTCCCCATGGCCTATGGGGAAGATACTGGTGGGTCTCTTTCTTTCTACTTTCCTTTGACATTCTCTTAAAAACAAGGTAGTGTCAGGAGCAAGGAACCAAGAAAGACACAGAGGTTTACTCAGAGCAGTTTCTTTATTGTTGCTCACCCATTGACAGGAATCTTGCCAGACTAGAGCACAATATACATACCTATTATATATACTCAGTGAAAGGCTGCAGGAGGGTCCACTCTGTGCCTCTTCCTTCATTCCAAGGATTCTTGGTTGATGTGCCTATTACTCCTTCGCAAAGACCCCCTCCCTCCTGTGATAATGTACATCCCAACACATGTGATACATATGTGATAACGTCCCCCTTATCCCATTAACCATAATGGATGAATATTAAAATGCATGAAAATGTAGGAGAAGAACAGGCAAAACTGGTGGAGAGGGAGAGTTAAGTAAATAATCAGCCTACAGTTGTTATGTCCCCCAAAATGATCCATATTCAGCTCACCTTGAATTCCGTTGATGCTTATCTGGCTCTGATTTGGATTTGACAAGATTCTTGTGTATAGGTTTGAACAATCACTGCCTTACACCAAGGGTTGGACTCTGACCCTAAAGAAACTGCACCACATGAACCAGCAGAATTTCAGCCCCAGGAGGCACCAAGACAGGAATCACCAGAAGCTTTTTAGAAATAGAAACTAATCAAGGAGAGAAGCAACCTAGAACTAAGGAGAAACTTCCTGACAGTGAGAACAATTAACCAGTGGAACAACTTGCCTCCAGAAGTGGTGAATGCTCCAACACTGGAAGTTTTTAAGAAGAGACTGGACAGTCATTTGTCTGAAATGGTATAGGGTTTCCTGCCTGAGCAGGGGGTTGGACTAGATGACCTCCAAGGTCCCTTCCAACTTTATTATTATTATTAAGATCAGATAGTGAAATATGGCATCCAAACCCTGGGCCTCCGGGATTAGAGCAGAGAGCAAAGGAAAGAAGCTCAATGAGACTCCTTGCCAAGCAGAGATCAACTCCCTTAATTGAAACAAGTTGCTGCAGTCTGATTTAAGAGAGAGTACTGACCAGTCCAGTTTTTGTGTTGGAAACAACTATTTCATGCCCTGCCCTGGTGTGTTGCTCTAGTGTTCTAGAATTGCAGTCGTAAGTCATAGTCATAATTAAATGAGGCACCTTGTGTCTCCTTGTTCAGCAACATGAATCCCAGCAGTTCCAGTTGCAATTGTTAAATGATCGCTCAAGTCATTAAATCGAGGGATTCCCAGGTAAGACTCATTCACCCCACCCATCTCACTTCCATCTATGTTCTTTTGGACACATTGCACAATGACAGTAGCGGGGGCAGCTCCAGGTTCCACTACCACACAGGTGACCTTCAGTGCCAAGAGCTGTTTTCAAGATGGCAATCCTTTCCCTCTGTATGTAGACTTCAGAAAAGAAAATAATTCTTGATGCAGCTGCTGGTATAACTATCAAATGGTCAAGGGCAGGAAATCAAGAACAATACAACAAGTTTCTAAGAATAGTTTCTTTATTGCTGTTTGCCAATAGACAGGAATCTTGCCAGAGTAAAGCACACTCAGCATATTTATCAGATAAATCCTAAGAATGTTTTAGAGAGGATCCCTTCTGAGCCTCTTTCTGCATACCAATGATTCAAGGACTGATTTGCCTTTTAGATCCTTGAGAAATAGGCCTTCCCTCCTGCAAACATTCCTCCAATTCCATAACACACATCAAATGAAATATTTATCTTGGTTATAGACCACTTCAAACAAAAGCTGAAAAATTATAAAATACATAATGTGGAAAAATATTTTGAAAAACTACTATCATTTCTATCATTTCTATTTCTATTTCAGCCTAGCTACCTACATATCTCTCTCTCATCTATCATCATTATATCACCACATGTATCTATCTATCTATCTATCTATCTATCTATCTATCTATCTATCTATCTATCTATCTATCTATCTATCTATCTATCTATCTATCTATCTATCTATCTATCTATCTATCATCTATCATCTATCTCCATCTCTACCTCTCTGTCATCTATCTATCTATCTATCTGTCTGTCTGTCTGTCTGTCTGTCTGTCTGTCTGTCTGTCTGTCTGTCTGTCTGTCTGTCTGTCTGTCTGTCTATCTATCTATCTATCTATCTATCTATCTATCTATCTATCTATCTATCTATCTATCTTTCTATCTTTCTATCTTTCTATCTATCTATCTTTCTATCTATCTTTCTATCTATCATCTATCTCCATCTCTACCTCTCTGTCATCTATCTATCTATCTATCTATCTATCTATCTATCTATCTATCTATCTATCTATCTATCTATCTATCTATCTATCTATCTATCATTGATCTACAGAAATACACAAAAGCACACACACAGAAAGAAACCTTTAAAAAAACCTCTGTTCCAAAAGTAGCCATATATACAGAATTACAGAATACAAACCCAGATGATGTTTGGGAATGAGAAGGAAGGTCTACTAAGGTCCTTCTATTCTAGAACTTTGCCAGGTGAGGTTGGTGCCACCTACAAATAAGGACACAAATCAAATGAAATATTTATTTTGGTCATAGACCAGCATAAAAAGGGTAGAATGCAAACAAAAACTGAAAAAATTGTAAAATACATAAAGTGAAAAAATATTTTGAAAAACTATTATCTATTTCTATTTCTATTTCTATTATCTAGTTATTTACATCTCTATCTCATCTATTATCATTATATCATCATTATCTCTCTCTCTCTCTCTTTCTCTCTCTCTCTCCCTCTCTCCCTCCCTCCCTCCCTATCTATCTATCTATCTATCTATCTATCTATCTATCTATCTATCTATCTATCTATCTATCTATCATATATCTATCATACTGTATATAGAAATACACAAACAAAAGTAGCCATATATACAGAATTACAGAATATAAACCCAGATGAGGTTTGGGAATGAGAAGGAAGGTCTACTAATGTCCTTCTATTCTAGAACTTTGCCAGGTGAGGTTGGTGCCACCTACAAATAAGGACTTGAAATGCCTATAAAAGATTAGCAGGAAGGGAGTCTTACAATGAAAGAAGTGATATATCTTTAGTCCAGAAAGAAAGCCACTAAGTAATGGTTATTAATAATGAAATCTTATTTTAAAATATAATTGAATGATATTGTGTCTGAAATATTTCAGCATCAAAAATGACACATTTCATTTCAAGAAACCGTAACCTCTATGGCAGACTTTCCCCTTATCTTTCATCTCCATTATATGTATATAAATGTGCAGGTCACAAAGAAAAATGCATAAAATAAATTACACATTTTAAAAAAATTCATTCAGTAATACTTTGTTTTTAAGTACTTTGTTTTTAAGTACTTTGCTCAGTAAATTGTATCCATTCAGTATATTCTTAAGGAAAGCATGTTTTATGTCCCAAATAACCCTGTAGCTTCAAATATTTTATATACAATATTTATGACCCTTCACAACTGGACTTCCTTCATGGTTTGCTGCTCTTCTGGGCTGCCCTTCTCATCCTTGAAGACTCTTTGCAGAGCAACCTTGTATGATGTTCTGGGCTGGTCCTTTCCTCTCTGCTTCCTCCCAACAAAGAAATAAAGGAGAGGGTTGATGCTGCTGTTGAGAGAGGCACATCCTATCCCAATGGTCATCAGGAGGAGGTTATAGGTATCAAAATATTCAATGACATAAAAGACATTCATTGGGAGAGAAAAGAGAAGGAAGAAGAGGAGAGCCAGCAAGATGGTGGAGAGCAACTTCCTTTGATTGCGTTGTGATTTAGATCTCATGTGAATCCAGAGGGTAACAGTGGACACAACCATGATAGGCGTACAAAGTAAACCATTCACAATCAGCTGATAAAGGAAAGGCGAACTTCTTTTGTTTCTGGTCTGGTGGAGAATGAAGTGCACAGCAGAGAGCAGGAAGGAGAGGATCCAGATGAGGCCACAAACCAGAGTGGACAAATATGGAGGACGATGGCAGCGATGCCAGAGTGGGAAGAGGACAGCCACACACCTGTCCAGGCTGATGGCCATCAGCAGAAACTGGCTAGCAGAATAGGTGAAGAAAAAGAACTCAAAAAGTAGGAAGAAAATGGTATCAACAACGTGTGTTCTTTGACTCAGAGTTAAGACTGCCAGAAATGTAGCTGCTGTGATGAGGGATGCGAGGACCCCAAAATCAGCGATGGAGAGATTCAGGATGTAGGTGGTGAAAGAATTTCTCTTAATGGAAAAGGCCAGGAGATAAATGGTCTTTCCATTTCCCACCAGGCCTAAAATGCAAATAAGGGCAATGAACCCACTGATAAGATTTCGTGTTAAATTATCGAACATCTGAGCATAAGGTGAAGAAAAAAATTCTGGCATTTCAGAAATATTTAGAGCAATTGTAGTAGTATTGGAAGGAAAGTTGGTCATTTCAGAACCACTCCCAGAAATTTCATCCATATTAATGATCCTAATAACAAAAAGAGACAGAAAGAGAATCAGTCTTTGTTAGAGAAATACATACTTATATACTGTACATACATACATACACACACACAAATGCACATACACACACATATACACAAACATTCACACACACACAAACACACAGGCAGACACACAAACACATGCACAGACACACATTTTCTTACTTACACATATCAACACGTATCTGCTTTTTGACTGCCTGATGGTAATTACATCCCTAAAATTAATGTTTGTTGCAAGGTTGGAGAATTGCTACACCCAATCGTGACCCAAGCTTCTATGCAAAATCCTTCAAAGGGCATTTCAGGACAACTGGCACCAATTCCCTTTATTAGCCATTGTGGCTGAGGGCAGAGTAGGGTTACCTGGTATTTGAACAGGTTTGTTTACGTGGCCCGGTTTGTGGCAAGCTGTGGCCACGGACCAGGCGTTGGGGACCCCTGCTTTAGAGAGTAAGGGATTACAAGTGTGCAAACAGGCACACAATGCACTTTGAAATGCACTTTGAGAGGAACATGCTAGTACCAGCAGTTAGCTTTCAGTGTGTAATTGATTAAGGTCAATTTCAAGTCAGAGTTTGTTAACTCTAATAGCTATACTTTATTAGACAAAAGGTGTTTACTTTGGTACTCAAAAACTCAAGACAATTTTAAACTCCATCTGTCGGTTGGAGGAAACGAGGGCAACAAGTAGCACATGTCCTCCTTATGGCAGATGTCTACTGACTGTAGGTTAGAGAAAGTTATAATCAAAGGTTCTGGAGATCATGAGCTGATGGCCTTTTTCCCAAGCAAAGGAAAAAGGTTGTGGGCGTATAGGTGGACAGCATATGTGAGACTTGTCCTAAAATCAAGAAAGTCCCATGGATTTCAACAAAGACCAACAAAGCTGAAATGCTCTCATGATTATGTGGAGAGATTACATGGAGAGTTGAGCAACCTCCACCACGGAAGATTCCCTTCAAAAGAAAGGCATCCTGTTCCATCAGTCACAAATGGGCTGAGCAACAAAGCAATTCTCCTTTCGGAATATCATGAAACTACTGGATGGCTAACTCCATTCCTGAAAATAAAATGTTTTGTATCATAATACACTTACCAGTGGTATCTCTGCCAAACATCAGGGAAGTTTCTTTGTCTTATTGGGACTGATGTATCACCTAAGGAAGCAATAATAGTAAATCATTATTTTGATCAATAACAGCAGGCAGAAAAATGCTAATGTGCTTTATAAACTTCATCCACATTGATTTGTTTCTTTCTGAATGGGAATCTCCGAATGTATGAATAAAATAATCCCCAATAGATTTCCCCCCCATTGTTGCCTAGATAGCTATTAGCCAATAATCAGTCTTTGTGATCCTCTAATTATTTAACCTGATAATTAACTCAAAATAATTTTAAAAGTGCTCATTTAAAATGGAAAGTATTTCCCCACTCTTATTATTCCTTCATTTTTAGAAATGCTTCTGGGCATCTAATCTTTTTTTTTTCCTAACTAAAGAAGAACAAAGAAGTTGATTTCATCCCTTGTGTCCTTCCAAAGGACAATTCCAGGTGGATGTTGCCTGTAGGAAGTGACAGGTATCAGTGTGTTGATATTCTTAAATTCTCCGTAAGGCATACTATATGAATAATTCCATCAGAAGCCATTTTGTGAATGCACCCACTGAATGTTTTCAACATGCCAATGAAATTCCCAACTCATGATTGGCTCCTAGAGTCTCAATTCTGGAATAAGCTCACAAATCAAATTGACCCCTTGAGGTTTTCATTGTCAGTAGTTATCAGTTATCACAAAGGAAAGGAAATGTGTTACATAATATAGTTTTCATGCTGTTCATACCTCTTGAGTAATTAAATTGCTCCTCCATTATGCAAAAAGTGTTTGCTTGCTTAGAACAGTTCAAATCCGTGGATAAGGTGGACAACCTGGGGAAATACAATTATTAAAAGAAAAGAAATTTCTGACCGTCAAAATGGCTGAAAGGAATTTTGTTCTTGGGGAATTCAAAGCCATTGTCAGTTTGCCATTCACACAAAACAAGTGTAGCCTTTCCTACCTTTCAATCAAGCAATAAAATTTATTTACAGTTCAAAACCAAAGGAATCAAAAGACCAGAAGACCAACAACCATTAAAAGGGAATTTTAAAAAATAAGATTTTTTTCCCAGAAAGATAGCAGCTAACAATTAATGGTATGAGATTAGAAAAAATTAGCAATAGCAATAGCGCTCTGTAGAGATGACCTGATGAAATAACTCACAGGTTAAAAGGGTTAAACTTTTTTTTATGGATCTTAGTTATTAGCTGGGAGCAGCTGAATGAACAGATTTCCTTATCTTCAAATTTTGCTCTAAAACAAAATGCTCCAAACATTTTGTGGTGAACAGAGTCAGCCTATTGCCCCCAACAATCTAGGTCCTCATTTTACCAACCTTGGAAGGATGGAAAGGTGAGTCAACCTTGAGTCGGTGAGAAGCGAACTGCTGGCAGTTGGCAGAATTAACCTGTACTACTGCATTCTAACCACTGCTCCACCACGGCTCTTCAACAACAACAACAACAACAATAGTTGGAAGGGACCTTGGAGGTCATCTAATCCAACCACTGTTCAGGCAAGAAACCCTATACATTTTAGACAAATGGCTGTCCAATCTCTTCTTAAAAGCCTCCAGTGTTGGAGCATTCACAGCTTCTGGAGGCAGGTTGTTCCACTTGTTAATTGTTCTAACTGTCAGGAAGTTTCTCCTTAGTTCTAAGTTTCTTCTCTCCTTGATTAGTTTCCATCCGTTGCTTCTTGTCCTGCCTCCAGTTTCTTTGGAGAACAGCTTGACTCTCTCTTCTTTGGGGCAGCCACTGAGATATTGGAACACAGCCATCATGTCCCTCCTTGTCTTGTCTTCATTAAACTAGACATACCCAATTCCAGCAACCCTTCCTTATATGTTTTAGCCTCCAGTCCTCTAATCATCTTCCTTGCTCTTCTCTGTACTCTTTCTAGAGTCTCAACATCTTTTTTACATCGAGTTGACCAAAACTGGATGCAGTATTCCAAGTGTGGCCTTACCAAGACATTGTAAAGTGGTATTAACACTTCACATGATCTTGATTCTATACTTATTAAGATTTACTGAAGTCAGCGATGAGAAGACTGTTATTATACCGTACTGGAAAAAATATTGCTGCTAAATTGAGTTCTGTCATGGGGCAGAAGACCCTGCTGGATTAGCTGACCCCATACTAATGGGCTCCTAGTCCTACCCTGGTCTCAAAAAGGAACATTTTGCAGATAATAAATTACCCCAACACAAACTCTGCCTTTACTGCAGACATACCTGGTGATGATGGGAAGAATCTCCTGATGGAACCAGCTGGTCTCTTTGGGAATCTAAGGATGAGATCTTTTTCCAGTGAATCCTGTTAGTTGGCACTTGATGCGGTTACAGTCAGAAAGAGGAACTGAGCTGGACCAAGTTGCAAACTTACTGAGCGAAATAAGAATAACTTGTCTGATGCTCTTCTCTGAATTTCGCAGCTTCAAGTGTTTTTGCACACAGTGTGCAAAAGAAGTGATTAACGATATGATCATATCTTAAAGAAGAATCAACCAAGAGGTACCAAAACTTGACCTCAAATTCCTGTAATCCAGGTCACTTAAAGGAAGAGCAACTTAGAGTCACACTTGTTAACTGTGACAGCAATTTCCTTTTATTATTTATTAAGTTTGTATGCTGCCTATATCTGCATTAAGGTGACTCTGAGTGGCTTGTTAAGCTAATGTGCCAAGAAACAGTGTAGGCTTCCACCATTTTGACTGTTTAGTCCTGTGTGCCAATCTTGCTGGTGAGGATATGTATTTAACCAAATGCAGTCTTTGTTCTGGTTGGTTCAACCAAACGGACAAAACCTTGAAGGACTTTTTTTTTTTTCGCCTGGAAGGAGATGATTCCTGAAGGGAGCAGTAGGTCCCCATGGCCTATGGGGGAGATACTGGTGGGTCTCTTTCTTTCTACTTTCCTTTGACATCCTCTTAAAAAATGTGATGTCAGGAGCAAGGAACCAAGAATGACACAGAGGTTTACTCACATCAGTTTCTTTATTGTTGCTCACTCATTGACAGGAATCTTGCCAGACTAAAGCACAATATGCATATCTATTTTATATACTCTGTGAAAGGCTGCAGGAGGGTCCACTCTGTGCTTCTTCCTTCATTCCAAGGATTCTTGGTCGATGTGCCTTTTACTTCTTGGCAAAAACCCTGTTGAAGGAAAAGTCTTCATCATGGTTCAGTCCAAGCCGGGAATAAACAACATAGCAACTGCTTTAGAAAGAAGTTTACAGTTTATTGAAGAGGAGAGCCAGACAAGAAGATTGCCCTGGAAGAAAAGAGAGTGAGCACATGTAGGGAGTGGGTTTTTATATCCTCTGGAGCCTTTTGTTTGGAGTTGTTCCTGTGGCATGAACTTTGACCTGAGTCCGAGTGTGCCTTTCTTGTATTCTGATGGTAGTGGGCTAATCCTATTATGTCTCAAACGTCATATCCTGTTTCCCTGGGGCTGGGGTTGATGACTTTTAGATTTTTGGTGTGAGGGGTTGTTGATTCTAGGGATCTTTGTTCCTAATCCCAGTTTCCTGACTCCAGTCTTTCTGACAAGATTATCACATCTGAAATTCTGCAAACTTGGTTTCTATTTGGGACAGAGAGACTTGGGGGCGGGGTTTATTTCTGCTTTTAAAATCCTTTAGGGAAATATATTCTGCCTTTTAAATATTTCCAAAAATATTTCTTTCTCTGGGTGGGGGGTGACTTCCCATAACCCCTCCCTCCTGTGATAATGTACAGCCCACCACATGTGGTAAATCCTTGATAACTTTCCCTTATCCCATTAACCATCATGGATGAATATTTTTATGTATATTTTATTAATTTGTATAAGATAACTTTCTTTAGTATTTAGCAAACAGCATGTTGTCTGGATTCCCTCAAGACTTGGTTATTCCAGCTTGCAGGACTGGCCTAGGGTAATTTTTAGGGGGGTTTTAATTATATTTTAAAATTTGACAAATATTTAAATATTCCTTTTAATTAATTTTAAATTTGTATTGTTTTGTATGTATTTTAAATAGATTGTCAGCCGCCCTGAGTCCTACGGGAGAAGGGCGGGATATAAATCCAAAA